GTTGTTGTTGTTGTTGTTGTTGGTGTTGTTGTTGTTTGTTTGTTGCCGTCATCCCACCCGCGACCCACCAACGACCCATCCCGCGACCCACCCCTCGACCCACCCGCGACCCACCCGCGACCCACCCGCGACCCACCCGCGACCCACCCGCGACCCACACGCGACCCATCCCGCGACCAAGCCGCGACCCACCCGCGACCCACCCCGCCACCCATCCGCGACCCACCCGCGACCTATCCACATTGGTTTAATGGAAAACTCGGCACCTGCGGCGGGCTCCTTGCACAAGTTGTGAAACTTTGGCGCCTGCGGCGTGCTTCTCCAGAGTCTCGCAGACTGCCGACGTCCCCACCGCCCCATCACTCTTGTCCGTATCTGCGGGATGCTACGGTAATTTACGTAGCACCCCGCAATTGCGGATAAGAGTGAGGGGGCGAGCGCGGGCGACGCGGGCGTCGTCAAGCCGGCGGACCTCGTGGCCCCCACCTTCCCTGTCGATGGCGCTCTCCTCCTCCTCCTCCTCCTCCGCCTCCTCCTCCTCCTCCTCCTCTTCCTCGTCCTCGTCCTCGTCCTCATCGTCATCGTCGTCCTCCTCCTCCACCTCGTCCTCCTCCTCCTCCTCTTCTTCCTCGTCCTCCCTCTCCCCCCCTCGTCCTTCCATCATCGTCCTCCCATTGTCGTCATGTTCCTCCTCGTCGTCCTCCTCCTCTTCCCCCCTCCCGATCCTCCCCCCTCCTCCTTTTCGTCGTCGTCGTCGACGTCGTCGTCGTCGTCGTCGTCGTCGTCGTCGTCGTCCCCTTCCTCCTCCTCCTCCGCTCCTCCTCCCCTCCTCCCCCTCCTCCTCCTCCTCCTCCTCCTCCTCCTTCTCCTCCTCCTCCTCCTCCTCGTCCTCCTGCAAAAGCAGCCCGCCGCAGGCGCCGAAAAATGTGGTTTGTACACTGAACGTGGTTTGGGTCGCGGGTGGGCCGCGGATTCTTCACCGGGAACAACTGCAAAAGATGCCCGCCGCAGGCGGCGAAAAATCCGCCGGCCCCCTTGTGGGGCCACCAGGCTGCGAGGAGCGGGATTAGCAGTTTCCTGTACCAGTTGTAGCTTGTAGTTTTTAGTGTTACAGTTCTGCTTATTGCTGGTTATTGTAACTAGTTGATTGACCGCGCGAGGGGGGGGAGGCCCAAACCGGCTTTTCAGCACCCCCTGGGCGCGTTGTCTGAATTGCTGGGGGGGCTCGAAATCGACACCCCTCACGCAGATCCGCGGGGTCAGGGTCCAAAAACACACGGGATTTGCCACATTTCTAAAATTCGGTGCCACCCCTCACGCAGATCCGCGGGGTCAGGGTCCAAAAACACATGGGATTTGCCACATTTCTGAAATTCGGTGCCACCCCTCACGCAGATCCGCGGGGTCAGGGTCCAAAAACACAAGGGATTTGCCACATTTCTGAAATTCGGTGCCACCCCTCACGCAGATCCGCGGGGTCAGGGTCCAAAAACACATGGGATTTGCCACATTTCTGAAATTCGGTGCCACCCCTCACGCAGATCCGCGGGGTCAGGGTCCAAAAACACATGGGATTTGCCACATTTCTGAAATTCGGTGCCACCCCTCACGCAGATCCGCGGGGTCAGGGTCCAAAAACACAGGGGATTTGCCACATTTCTGAAATTCGGTGCCACCCCTCACGCAGATCCGCGGGGTCAGGGTCCAAAAACACATGGGATTTGCCACATTTCTGAAATTCGGTGCCACCCCTCACGCAGATCCGCGGGGTCAGGGTCCAAAAACACAGGGATTTGCCACATTTCTGAAATTCGGCGCCACCCCTTACGCAGATCCGCGGGGTCAGGGTCCAAAAACACAGGGGATTTGCCACATTTCTGAAATTCGGTGCCACCCTTCACGCACATCCATCGCAAGGCGTGGTAACCCAAACTGCGAGAACTCCCTCGGCCCTTTAATCGCAAGGTGTGGTAACCGAGCCCGTAAACCATACACGTCTTACCAATCGCCAGGTGTGCTAACCCCTCTTGTGATCAGTTGGTTTTGCTGATTGCGAATCGGCTTCGCATGAAGTTTCGATACTGCTTCACGACAGCGCCAAGACCTCATGACTTAGCTCTTCCATGGCCCATTCTCCGAGAGAGGGGGCGGGCGGCAGGGGGCGAAGCCCCTACGGATTTGGCTTGTACCCTGAACGTGGTCGCGGGTGGGCCGCGGTCTCTCAACCTAGAACGAATGCAACAAATGCCCGCCGCAGGCGCCGAAAAATGTGGTTTGTATCCTGAATTTAGTTTGGGTCGCGGGTTGGTCGCGAGTTGGTCGCGGGGTGGGTCGCGGGCTCTCCACCTGGAAAGGATGCAAAAAAAAACCGCCTCAGGCGCCGAACATGTTGGTTTATACCTTGAACGTGGTTTGGGTCGCGGGTGGGTCGCGGGTGGGTCGCGGGGTGGGTCGCGGGGTGGGTCGTGGGTGGGTCGTGGGTGAGTCGCGGGTGGTCGCGGGTGGGTCCGGGTTGGCCCGCGGGCGGGTTGCGGGGTGGGTCGCGGGTGGGTCGCGGGGTGGGTCGCGGGTGGGTCGCGGGTGGGTCGCGGGTGGACCGCGGGGTGGGTCGCCGGGTGGGTCGCAGGGTGGGTCGCGGGGTGGGTCGCGGGTGGGTCGCGGGTGGGTCGCGGGGTGGGTCGCGGGTGGGTCGCGGGTGGACCGCGGGGTGGGTCGCGGGTGGGTCGCAGGGTGGGTCGCGGGGTGGGTCGCGGGTGGGTCGCGGGTGGGTCGCGGGGTGGGTCGCGGGGTGGGTCGCGGGTGGGTCGCGGGGTGGGTCGCGGGGTGGGTCGCAGGTGGGTCCCGGGGCGGGTTGCGGGTGGGGCGACGACAACAAACAACAACAACAACAACAACAACAACAACAACAACAACAACAACAACAACACCACCACCACCACCACCACCACCAACAACAACAACAACAACACCACCAACAACAACAACACCACCACCAACAACAACAACAACAACAGCAGCAGCAGCAGCAGCAACAGCAACAACAACAACAAACAACAAACAACAAACAACAAACAACAAACAACACACAACAACAAACAACAACAAACAGCAACAAACAACAACACGAATCCGCACCGCGGAATCCCATTTCAGCCACGCACCCAGGGACAGTGAATGACCGTTCGGCCCCCTCACTCTGATGAGTTCCGCAGTCGTGCCGCTCGGCTTCCGACGGGTTCTGGAGGGCCCGAGATAGCCCTGACATGGTCCAGGACCAGGAGAGCCCCACGAGGAGACCAGAAGGGACTTAATGTTGGCCCCGAGGGCCCACGGGATCACCCCAAGAGAACCCTGAGAGGGACCCACGACGCGACTTTTCGAGCTCAAAACGATGACGAGCTGACGGAACCCTTCCCCGCCTCTTCCGAGACCGATGGTCACCAGCCTGGCTCCAAGAAGGCACAATGAATGCCTCTGACAGTCGCAATATAGTTCCCGAGCCAAGGGCCCCACCAGATCTCCAATATGGCTGCAAATGGTCTACAACATGACATTGTTGGGATCTGATCGGGATGATCTCAGCGTCGCCCTGACTGGTCTCGGGCCACGCGCGCTTCGCTCGCGTTTAAGTTCAAACTCCCCCACCACGTCCCATCACAAATCACATTGGCAGCGACCAGATAGATCCGCCGACCCCGTGGGGATCATCGGCGTGTGAGATTTTTCCCCCTCCCCAAACCCCTCCCCCGGGAGCCTGGTCCGGTCGACTTGGAGGGGAGGGGGGGTGCCCGGCCAGCCGGCCCGGGCCTCCCCGGCGCGGGCCGGGGGGGGTCATCCGTTCCAGAAATCTGCTGGGGGGCCCAAAACGAGCCAAGAGGCTCCCAAGAAGCTCTGAAGACGGTCCAAGAGGGCTCCGAGTCGCCGAATAATCATTCAAAGACGTTGAAGATTGCTTTCGGACGGCCCAAGATGCCGCCAAGACGCCCGAAGAGGCTTCCAAGAGGCCTCCCAAGAGGGCCCCAAGAGGCCCAAATCATTGCTTTTCAGTTGTTTTTTCGAAGTTGTTGGCCTTCTCGCTTTTCTCGGCTTCCGCCGCTCCAGGACGGCGCAAGAGTCCCCCAAGAACGCCCTAGGACGACCCAAGAGGCCCCCAAGTGAGCCCCAAGACGGCCCAAGAGGGCCTTAAGACGGCCCAAGAGGGCCTCAAGACAGCTCAAGAGGGCCCCAAGAGGCCCCCAAGAAATGCTCCAGACGGGGACCACGAACCTAAAATTCTAGCTTTCCGCCCCAAAAGGCATCCAGGAGGCCCCAAGGCGCCCCCAAGTAGTAACCCACCGTGGTCCTGTCCTGGCCGAAGTGGGTCCGCCAACGACGGTCGATCCAATGCCAGATCAGCCACGCCACCGCGGCGCCGTCAATCAGAAACGCGATCGAGCGCAATGGAACAGATCGGGTCATACATGGTGACGCGCGCGCCCGTTCAACCCTCAACGTTTCGATCGGAAACACCACCCTCGTTTGAAACTAATGCCGCCGCACAGGAATGTATAATTTTCATGGGGCGGGGTGCGGGGCGACGCCAAGCATCGCTTCACGAGCGAAATCGTGCACCATGCGAGCAACGCTCGCGAACCACCAAGCTGCCTCCGATATGCTATGGCGGTGTTAGCGTTGATCTGTTTCAATGTGTCAGCCGCATCGGGCCTTGAGCCAACAGACAGAAAACCAAAAGGGCAACGTGAGGCAGGACAGAGAGGTGCAGCGGCGGAAGCGGCAACGTGCGAAACATGCAAAGAAACGCACGGCACTGAAACCCGCGGACAAAACACACGCGGCCAAACGCAATCGCAAGGTCGCGTCGCGACAGCCTGAACCGACAGAGCGCAGAACAAACGCAGCAGACGCCGAGCCACGCGCCCACCGATGCACCCACGGCGCAAAAGCCCATGCGCCACGCCAAAACGCATTGGGCCAAGGCCCCAACGCCGCCAACATAGATGTCAGATAAGGTCGCCGTTCAGAGGCGCACAGGCATCCTTGAGCGGAGCGAGCTTTGTCCTGAGGGGAGGGTCGAGGAGGAGGAGGAGGACGGACGGATGAGGAGGACGACGACGAGGAGGAAGAGGAGGAGGGAAAGGAAGCGAAGCGCCCCTCCACGAGTGGAACACGTGTGGGACGTACATGCGTTGTCGAGCCTCTGGGCGCACGTTGACCACCTTGAAGAAGACGACGTTGTACCAATCAGATAAGAATGACTGGATATCAAATTCACCAACCTCGCCGCGCGCCATGTCCAGAATATGGTGGGACCCGTCCTGGTCGACAAACTCTACGATCTCCACGTCTGGCGAAGCCATGGCATTGTAAAGTTCCACGGGGAGACTGTAGCACCCGTGCTGGCCGAACAAACCCTTGATGAATGTGACCGCGTGTTTGATCTCAGGTGTCGGGTTGCCATGAGCAATGGGCAACCTCACCTTCATGGAGTCTATACCATCCTTCCAAATCTGCCAGCTGTCTCTCTGGGGGCCCATGGTCTGGTACTTCGAGTCGATATCGCACGTGTAGATAGCATGGAGCTTTCTCCGATTTGACATCCCATCAAGCTCGGATGTAGTGAACCTGTTCTGCAGGACGCAATCGGACAGCTTGAGCTTCCTGTAGTTCATGCAACAGAACGAATGGGACGCCTCTGAGGACTGCAGCAACGCTATGTGAGTGGGCTCGCGCAGACGAGCGCACACCGTCGGCGCATGCACGTGCGCCATTGCGCGCCCCAAAGAGCTGACTCTAGCGTGTATGCTCTCCACGTTCCTCTCCACCAGCGGCGCCAGAGCGTAAGAAAGGATGGCGGCGTACGCCATTGGATAATCATTCCAGCACTGATCCTCGCGATCGTTCAACTCCCGAAGCCCCCTTCCACATGGGCCCTCGGGTCCCAACAATCGATGAGATACTCTCCCTAAGGGGCGCCCAGCAGCAACGGCCTGATCATACTCGTCGATGCTCTGTCGCAGCGGTCGCCTCCATGACACGTCAGTCGGAACGCTCCTCAACGCGCCCCAAAATACGCCAGCGACGAACCGAGGGATATGCCTCCAGAACTGCATCTTCTGACGCACGATCTCAATCAACATGCCTCACATTTCCTTCACCCACATCAGGGTCTCCGTCATGCGAGCTAAATTAAATCAACGCGGCGTAAAATGACATCCAAGTCTTTAGAAGCGGGGTTCGCCAGGTCGGACAGCATGTGATCCAGCCCAGCGGCAACCAACCTAGCGGCCTGGCGGCCTTTCCAGACACAGTGCTTAAAACCAGTCAGTCCCCAAAGATCGTTCAACTTACTGGAGCGTTTTCGCTCGCGCTTCCAAACCCAAGAATGGCATTCACAATCTCCCAGTCGGCTAGCATATGTCCCGACGATGGCGGCGAACATCCTGAACATCTCCGCGACTGCAGCGAACGCCCAACGATCGCCCACGGCGCGTGCCACCTCATCCAACATCATCCGGCCAAGTCTCCCCGTCTCGCTTGCCGCCATCACTGTTGCGTTAAAGTTGTCGCAAACATCATGCCATACTGCCGCGGCAGCAATAATCGCAGGGCCCATGAATTCCCAGCGCCAGTCAATGCGGTGATTTGCAAAGTGATTGAACTTCCCAGCGCAAGCCCGACCGATACAACAATGCTTCTGGAACTTTTCACGCAGGCCACTATCACCCAAACAGCTTGCACATCGTCGCAAGGTTGCTGAACAACTCGGTCGCGACGCTGACCTGCTTACACGCCTCCTCCAACGCGTTAAACAACAGGTGAAGGTGCCCAGTCACGAACAACACAAACGGCCACAACCCACTCCTGGGATCAAGCGCAGCATATTTCCCGTCCAAGAACGGCATTATGTTTGCTGCTTGCTCGTGGATCTTTGCCTCAGCCCCCCGATCAGTTGCAATGCCGAAGACCTCGCGCCGACGTTCTTCAATATCGGACTCGCGCTCGCACTCCGTGAGAAACATGCTCGTGACATTGAACGTTTTCTTTAAAGCGGTGGAGTGCCCCTCGCCAGTTGTCGAAAGCGGGCAGACTCGGGATTCGAAGCCTTCGTTCAGGTCATGCCTCACCATGAAGCCAGGATTCCCAAACTCTGATCTTGGATACCGTATGCGGTCTTCTCGGGTACACAAGAAATGCATACAAAGCTGCCTACTACCATCTACTAACAAGTACCTCATGAACTTAAAAATCTCTGTTTAACTCACGCTCATATAAAATAGCTAGAACATCCAAACGAATGCGAGCTTGACGCATCAACTCTGACGAAGGAAGCGGAATCCTCTCATGGCGGATCTCGTTCACCAGCTGCGACCCATCCCTCCCGTAGAACATCTGGGCAACCATGGCGAGCAAGTCAGATAACTTCGCAGACGGCTTGAGTTGGAATGCCAAGCTCAAGCAACAAAGGATACCGTGAGGGGCCCAGCGGTGGCCCACAGTGCCACCAAGGTGAGGCCCTGCCATCGACGCCAGATTCCTCCGAACGTCACCCAATGAGCCAGCGGCGTCGCCAAGTGGCGGGGCGGCCTGCGCCTCCACGATGCCCACCTCGGGCGGAGCGACGGCCACGTCCACGTCGGCGGCTGCAGCGTCCTGCAGCGCGAGCGCCTCCGCCCGCGCGTCAGGGACCACCCTGCGCGACGCGCAAGTGCAATCAGTTCGAGAAGCGCGAAATGACGGCACAAAGCGCGAGGGCGAGCTCGACGATGACGGCGGAGACGACGACGAGGGGGACAGCAATAACAGGCCGAGCGAAGACAGGAGGTCAGGCGGGAGAGGAAGGAGAGACGACCAAACAACGATTGGCCCCGAGAGCCTGACGATCTTCGGGGCCACGCCGACTGCGCGAGCGAAGGTGGCGGGCGAGACGATCGTGAAACGTTCCCCCGCAGACGCTCGAACTGCTCGCGATTGCGCGCCGTCTAGCGGCCAAGCACGCCAGCGCGCCTGGCCGCCAGGGAAGTGCGAAGTCATCGGGCCGCCGACGACGCTCTCGGCCAAGCGCAGCTGGTATTCGTAGTCGCCCTTCAAATTTATCAGGGTACTCACTCGGGCAAGCCCACCCCTCGGCATGGATATCAGATCTCGGAACATCACGGCGCGATCCACGCGCCAATACACAGACGAATCCCCTGCGACACTGCTACGTTCAGAGAGAAGCCAAGCTCCAACTGCAGTCGCCTCCTGCTCACGGACAATGAATGTTATGTGCGGTAAGTGCGTGGTCGATGTTCTCTCCGGTTGAGGCAGAGATGGCGGCAGCGCGCCGCCCTCCATTGCAAGGCCCACTGGCTCGAGACATTCAAGCAGATTTACTCGGGCGCGCCGCGAGTGGCGCGGGTTCGAGCCAAGACGTTCCCAGAGTTCATTCAAATCTTGGGGCAGAACAGCCATGCTCCCATCTTCGCGCGCCTGAACGAACGACGCAACAAAACAAACCATGTAGTCAAACCGACAAACGCAGAGCCGATGCATCTAATCAATCGCGCCCAATGGCGCCGTCGATGCAAGGACGATGCGTCGCTGACAAACCCCTTTGCGCCCGATCGCGCCGCCGATGCGATCTCGCGAAAATTTCAAGGAAACTCTAATCCGCTGCCCCGCTGAGAGGGGCAAGAAGCGCGCGCTACCTCACCTACATAAATCGGGGGGCCCGCTACCCCCAAACGTATTTCCCGCGGAGCACCCGCCGTTCACAGGGTGCGTCCGCGGATGCATGACAGTTGCCCCCACAGACCATCCAAATTCCATACCATGTAGCAGGGGGGACGGGGGACTACTACCCCCAAGAGGCCCCAAGAGGCGCCCACGCGGCCCCTAGAAGTCCAAAAGAGGCCCCAAGAGGCCCCAAAACAGCTCCCCAGAAGCATCCAAACTCCCTCCCGCAGCCCCCCGAGAGGATTCGCACAACGGCGCCAGTCCGTCGCCGCTCTTGTCTTCTGCGTCGTATTTTCCTGCTCTTTTTCATCCTCTTCTTCGCCCCCTCTTCCCTCCTTCCCCTTCAGCTCTCTGTGTCATCTTCCCTCCACCAGCACACCTTCCACCTTCTCCGCCTTCTGCTCCTCCCCCCGTCCTCGCATCTCCACGTCCCCCTATCCATCCCGTCCCCGGCAGTCAGATTCCTCGCAAGTTCTGTGATACATACGTGTGTGTGTTTATATGTGTATACGTGCATGTATGTGTACGTGTATGTATATGTATACGTGTGTGTATGTGTACGTGTAGGCGTATGTGAATGTGTACTTCTATGTGTACGTGCATGTATATATTTATACGTAGACGTGTTTGTGGATATATGGACATGTGCATACTTGATTACATGCACGCAATGAAACATGCACACATATTTACATACACATATATATATGTATATATATATATATATATATATATATATGTATCATACGCCGCCGTGCCTCGAAGATCGAGTTCGAATGTCCCCAGGTCCCTCGCTCAATCCCTCGAACCTGCGTCCACCATCCTGAGGATGATGTGAAAGGCCCGGAGCCCAAATTCTTGAATTTATCAGAGCTTCCCGCGGGCCGCGTGGAAACAGTGTACGAAGTGCAATGCAAAGCAATTCAAGTGCAAAACATTCAAGCGACAGTGCACTGGAAAGCGTAGCCATGGAAATCACAATTAATGGCAACGCAATGCAATTTTAAGCGACGCATCCCACACAGAAAAGAAATACGAACCAGTGCAACGCAGTGCATACTAGTTTCCAAGCAGGCCAGGCCGATGAAAGTCCGCGCAATGTAAGCACACACAAATATTTACGCACGCACTGTCAAGCACGGGAAATACAGTATAACGCCAACGCTTAGACCCCAAAAGCTAAGCCCGCCGACCCCTTGGCAATCATCGGCGTGGGAGATTCCCCCCACTCCCCAAACCCCTCCCACGGAAGCCTGGTCCGGTCGATTTGGAGGGGCGCGGGGTGCGCGGTCGGCCTGCCTGGGGGAGTCAACCGCCGCTTGGCAGTGGGCCTCACTGTCAACAGATCAGGGAGGAGGGGGACGGGGGGGCCACTTATAAATGGGCCCCGCTGTCAACAGATCTAAGGGGGGGCCCCTGGGGGGCCCATTTGACAGTGGGCCCCACTGTCAACGGGATCGCGGCGGGACTCCCGGGGAATGCCCTGGGGGGCCCCATTTGACAGTGGGCCCCGCTATCAACAGGGGAAGCGCACCTTCTCTGGTCCCCCGCCTGTGGACAAGGGGAATCAGGCACCCCCCCCCTGTGGACAGTGGTGTGCCCCCCTTCTGGGTCCCTCGTCGTCCCACATGTGAACAGAGGAGCACCGCAGGACAAGACAAAAATGCATCTCTAAGGTTCCCGCCCTCTGGGTCACGGCGCCTCTCCTGTTGTGCAGCGGAAAAGAGCGCGCGGGGGAAATGTCCCAGCTTCAGAAGCCGAAGTCATGACAAACGCCCGACGATCGAACACCACCGACAACGCTAGAAAACTGCGACTTCCGCCTCCTCGTCGTCGTAATCCTCCTCCTGCTCCTCGACTCTCCATCTTCCGACGTTCATTCTCCATTTGTGGCCTTGGTGCCTATGTCGCTTCCCAGAGCTACCCGAAACGGAGCTGGGATGAACGAATACGTCCAACGGAAGTCGGAATCGTTCCGAAGGAACGCGATACGTATTACGCCATTGCAAACTGGATCTCCGATTTGCCAACCCAGCGAGTCGCATTTGCATGGCACACATCAGCTTCCGCACCCACAGCGACTGCCCCAACGACAACAACGGCAACAGAACAGCGACCCCGAGCAACGCCAGTGCCGCAATCACAACCACCAGCGCCAACACAAGCAGCGCCA